CGCATCTGTCGTACCAGGTAACTCAGGTTGCGGTCTTGTGGTCGCATGGTGTCCGACAGAGTTATTAACCACTTGCTTGCTGCATGCTTTCGGTGTGCGGTCGCGCCGTAGTACAGCTCTTCTGCCGTCCACGAGTCGCCTCCCAGTCCACCTTGTTGCTCCACCGCCTGGGGGATCGTTGCCAGCCAAGCCTCGACCGACTCACTGGACTTGCCGCTGAAATCCTCAATATGCAGCCTCTTCATCTTGTGATGCCGTGGAGCGTCCGTCGTCGGTGCTTGTATCAGAATGGGTTGTTGCGTCGGTTGCGCGGGTGCCGGTGCAGCTGGTCGACCCATAAAGCGTCGCATCATGGATCTCTGCTGACCTGGGTTTAGTGCATCCCACCAGTCCATTGACTCCAGGTCGTCGTCATCTTGACCCCGATTTGCTGCTGCCGCTCCTGCTGTGTGCGTCTCATCATCGCCCGGTTGCCCGTCGTCGCTTCCTCCGTTACTTCCGCCGTCGTTATTTCCTCCGTTGCCCTGGCCACCTCCTTGGGGAAGAAGTTTTTCCGTACTAAAAGCGTCCTAAACGTCCTAACTTGTCCTAATACCTACTGTCATAAATTACGGTATTGGCACAAAACTTCGGCATGGGTTATAGGATCGTTAGGACAGTTAGGACAGTTAGGACAGTTAGGACAGTTAGGACAAATACGAAAGTTGTAAGGCTACACTACCCATGCCAACGAGAGATATCTTATGGCTTACAGAATGCAGAATGCTACTCAAACGCCATGTATTCCCCGGGGACTTCAACGTCCACAGACCGCGCATGAGCAGGAGCGCTCTGTCGACCATGCTTGATGTCGTCCAGCAGTTTTATGTAGGAATGTGCCTCTGCCTTTGCAGCTTCAATGAAGACGAGAATACTTGGATGTGGCGCACCAATGCGAGCAGCAAAATCGCGATTGTACTTCTCCAGCGGGTTATTAGTCCGATTTATCATGCTCACATTGTTGCGCCGCATCTGGCTCACGTTCCACAGCGACGTGTCGAACCTCTTTGTCCACGTTCGCACAAAATACTTCCAGAAAGCGTTCCATTTAGTCTTTGCTGCGGTATCATCGATGATGCTTCGAACATACCGTAGTCCCTGCCAAAAAAAAATTAATTTTATTTTAGTAATATTTTCCGTAAGTAAAATACAAAAATTACGTACCTTGTCCAGCACTTCTTCGGCAGGAATGACAGTAAGCACGTCCAGTTTTCCCGACTTCATGGCGTCTGCGATCTGTTCCTTGGGAATCTTCAGTTCTATCATCTTCCTACGTAGAGCCTGCTTCCAGTGGAAGAGGCAGCCAACAATGTTGGCTGCAGGGAACTGCTCAATCACAGCGTTAATGAGCGCAAGCTCAAAGTCACAGGTAACATCACGAGGCTCCAGCTGGCGGTCGGACGCCATGATGAGCTGCTCTAGTACTCGCCAATACGTTTCTTGGCTTTTCGAATTGACGAGTACGTAGAGTAGTGGCACGTATACGTCGACACTAGGATCGTAGACCATAGCAATCAGGCACTGCGAGAAACCTTTTGGTACCACCGAAAAGGTACCATCAATAAAAAGGGTCAGCTGAGGGTACCGCAGAATCCGCAGTAAGTCCGGATGCCCAAAGCAGAGCATACGCTGTATGCCGGCGGTGGTGGGGCGAGCCATGCTGAATTGTAGGAACGGGCGCGGGTCTGAGTCGCTAATGCTTCGCACCGGTGCAGCCTCAATTGCACGGAAAATGTCGCCACCGGTGGCACCTTGGCGTACGTTTTTGATGATCGTAACACCACTCGGACGCGCAATACCGTAGATAGTTGACGGGTGATGCTTGGTACGGAAACTATCAAAGACGCGCTGCCACAGAACACCAGGTGCAACAGCGAAGTCTTTAATGGCGCGATCTTGCAGCTCCAAAGACATGTCGTGGCGTACGTCTGCGACTTCTTCTAAAATTTCTTGGTCGCAGCGGTGAATATTTTTTTCGATGATAGTGCCCCCCTTCTTGACTACAAGACGTGCTGGACACCCAGTCCGGAACTTCACGCAGCTGAAATAGGTTGTTCCTGTCTCCGGGACGGTGCGCTTCTTGCAGAAGCGGTAGTTCTTGTGCTCCATGGACAAAGTTGTCAAGTGACAATAAAAATTAAAACAGCTATGTGTTTCTGCATGATTGGTTCCCGTTAACTTTTAAAAACCTCAATCCCAAGTTCGACTCAAAATAGGTTTTAGGATATGTCCTAAATTTCCGACAAAAATACCGGTTTTTAATTTTGGACAGTATTAGGATTGCAATGTTTTTCCGGATTTAGAACCTTTTTAGGATCCATTTTGCAATCTATTCCAGTAATTTACGACGTATTTTAGGATTTCGTAGGACAGTTAGGACAGGATTAGTACAGAAAATTCGACACCCCTCCTTGGCCGTTGCCATCGTCGAACACATCATCGTCATCTTCACTGCTGCCGTCTGCGCCACCACCTCCAACAGGTGCTATCGCGACGTTGCTGCTGACAGCTACCTCGTCAGTCCCGCCGTTGCCGTCACCAGTACTGAGTCGTATGCGCCTCCGGGGTCGACGACTCTTGTTGGGTGCCACAGGTGGCGTCGTTGAGCTTCGCGTCGTCATGCTCAGGGTCCGTGGACTCGTTCACTTCGTAGCCGCTCGTGCCGCTCGCGCTGGCATTGTCACCAGGGTGTCTCTTTAACTCCTCGTCTGGTATGAAAGTTACCGAGCGTCTCCGGTGCTCGTTCGTTTACTACCGTTCCGTTCGTCGTCCAATAACTCTCACTCCGTCCTCACTCTCTCTTTCCGCCTTCACTCTCTCTTTCCGCCTTCACTCTCTCTCTCTCTGCCTTAGCACCCTCTCTCTGCGTGGCTAGGGTTCGTGCCACAGGGCCAAGCTTCAATAGAAGGCCCCTGTATGACCACCAAGTAAGCTTTGTGTAATCGGCTGTCAGGTCGTAGCTCGTCGAGACACTCAGTCACTCTTACGTGGCGTCAATTACTTAGTGAGATACTCAACGGTTTCCGTATGTCGCGTTGCTTCCACCGCCGGTCTTGCTCTCGGCCAAGTGACAGTTTCCGGTGGCCACAGAAGTCGCCGCTCTACCCACGCACCTACACTAACTTACACGCGCACCGCAGCAACTTCTGAGTTCCTTGGTCTGGCAACTAGTGGTGTTCCTCGGAGATCTATGCCAAGCCGCTCGATCGTTATCCCAGGGGCTTTTACACCAGGGGCTAACTCCACTACCCTATTCTTTTGGGGGAACTTCACGACGTTCCGGGCTGCTGATACCGACGACCCTACGGGGCTGCTTATGCCCGTCTCTCTGTCACACTCCGATTTCCACCCTACTTATTCCGTCTCGTGACTCACTAACAACTGACTTGTTATTGCTTATCTCCTACAGGCACCAATACCGGCACCTTCTTCTTCTGCGTCTGCGCGAGCACTTGCCTGCTGCGCCGCAAATCTGGAACTGCCAGTCGCTCGCCTTGATCTTCATGCATGCGACACTTTGCCACCCCTTCATCCAGCAACCGCGACTTCTACCGAAAAGACCGCAGTGCATGAACTTGTTCTGAGTACACCACCCAAAAGATCGTCCACCGGTTGCTCGTACAGGGCTACTGACTTCTCGGGAGATCCCTCCCAGCTGCCTAACTTCGTCGCCCTCCTTCTGTTCGTTGATACTCTCTGCTCTCTTGCTCGCTGTCCGTTGTCTCGCTCGTTCTCCTTCGTCATCGTGTTCGTGGGTGACGTGAAGAGGCACCCAAGAGGATTTCAATCCTCTTACTTTACCTTCATGAGCTCAAGCCCCCTCCACCAAGCGTCGGTATTTGTCCCCGCCAGTTTTCAATAAGGTATTCCATTTTTGAGCGTCAATTTGACGTCGAGAGCTAACATCCGAGCAGGACGACAATAGCTGAAAACTCTGCCCTTCAAAAATAAAATAATTCATTTATTTTAGTAATTAATTATTGGCAAAAAAATATTGCAGTCTGGATAGTTCATAAATAATTCAAAACAAGGATAGGCTCAAGAAAAAGACCTGGGTCAGTTCACATTTTCGACCACGTCCCGTGTAGACACTTCCATATTGGTGATGCCCAATAGGGCACACTTCAGAGTACGAGAATTAGACACATACTTGAAAATCATCCGAGGTTATCGACATAATGTTATTGCATACTTTCTACTCGACAAGCATCCGTTTCTAGCGATTACTTGCAGGTGATCAAACATTTACTCGAAACTTATCTTTTTCCCGCTTAGAGCAACTGAGGGATGTCGAAGAATACGCCTCGGAATGAGTTGAGCGCACGTAAATCCAAGCCACCACGATAATATTTGGGCAGGCGCGTCAAAGTAAAAACCATTGATAAGATAGACGCAACAGCTTAAAGGTGGTTCCTTCGGGGGGTCCTAATCACGAACAGGGCATGTGCCAAACTGGGAGAATGTCGAGTGATCTTTGCCGCGATGTCGAGCTGTCGTCGCCAAATCTCGACTTTTCGTCTCTCTCGTCTTGTCACTGCTGCATGTTTTCTCCATGAACAGCTCTGCGGATTCTGTCACGGTTGCCATCGCCCGGTTTCTCGCGGAGTTTGGCGAGTCTTGTCCATCGAAACTCTTCCACCTCAGTTCACTTCGCGCGACAAAGTTTCCAGTGTGCAAGCCGCGGACGCTCGTGTTGGTTAGCTGTGTGAGCGTCTTCAGTCGAGAATAAATTTTGGGCAAACTACGAGGGCCACTTGAAGCTGCAGTTGTCATAGTTTTGAGTAGTCTCTGCAATTTTCGTCCCGATACTTCATTAAGCGATAGTGGAGGCAACTCAGACATCGTCACGCCGCCTGCCAAAGCGTTGATTCGATCCTAGTTATTCCAGCAATTATTTTATAAGATGGCGAACATCCCGAAACGAAGGAATGTATGTCTTCCTGTAGTGTAACCTCCCTTCAACCACTGGAACTCGCTTTTATTTTTCATCAGGACAAGTGGTCGATACTTTCACGCTACAAGTGTTGATTGCTGCCGTCCGACTTCTACACAATCTGCGTCTCCAATTCCGTATCTAAGGCTGTGTTCTCACCCGGCCCAACAAGTAGATCATCCATACTGGACTGGGCTTCAGCTAGTAGCGCCTCAAACTCCTTTCCAATACTTCCCTGTTTACGAGACGACGCTGCGTCGATCTGCGAACCTTCATCGGAGAAGAGCGTCTCGCTCGAGAGAGCTCGCTCGCGCTGCATCGCGGAGGAAGGGGACAGCGATCCCGTGCGTTTGGGCTCGAAATAATAACCCTCCGGCTTGAGAGGCAGAGTCTTGACACGCTCGCGAGCAAACAGAAGCGAGCATAATTCCTTCAGGATCTCGTCCAGAACCACATAACCACATAATAGCCGCGCCTCTGCCTCGTGGTCGTTCAGTACTGCGTCGTTGTCCTCGTCCACCAGTTTCTTGCGCAGTTCTTGCAGCTGCGTCGCTCCGTTGGGAAGTCGATTCAAGCGCCGCAGAGCATCAGCATACACTTCCTCAAGGATACTGCGCAGACTCTGGCCCATCGGTAGACCCTCGTCCAGATCAAACACCACCATGGAACATCGAGACTTCTGAGCCAGCGCGTAGATCAGACCTGAAAGGGCCAAGTTCTCCTGGAAAGAGTTCTCCAATAATCGCTCCATGCGACTCAGAACGATGCGCAAGAAGAGCGGCATTGTTCCCTCGTCGTTTCCGACGGTTAACCTTTGTAGAAACTGCGACTGCGATCGCTGTCGAAGCCCAGCCGGCTCAGCAGGCGAGAAAGAAGGCAAACTAATGCTCAAATACACATCACGCAATGGCTTCATCGAGTTGCGTGTAGCAGCAGTTCGACTGGACAATCCTCTTGAAGAAGATGTCGCATCCGCAGCAGCAGGGGAAGGAGGGGGAAAGTTGCCAGTGTCTTCCCTTGATGCTTCAATTACTGCTTCCTCTTCTTGGAAATCGGCATCTGAGTCGTCTGACTCTTCCAGTTCTTCAGGGCCGTGTTGACAAGCTGCGTACTCGGCGTCGGCGATGTACGAAAGCAGCGACAGCACTTGGTCTTCTTGGTCGTCTGCTGCCGGAATTTCTTCCGCAGCATCCTCAGGCCCCGTGAATGCGCGGATTTTCCACAGATGGACATTAGACGCCACCGAGGAATCAGGAAAACGCGACGCGAACCAGATAGCGCCGTTGGTGGGCGCACTCGGGCTCAACAGGGAAGAGTATACAGGTCGTTGCTTCCGTGGACTGGACTCGCTTCCACTCTCAGCGATGCTCTCCGGTTTGTTCGACGACCCAAGCACGACGCAGTCTGCGTATTCATCCTGTAACTCCAGGACGCTCGTGAATAAATCGATCGTTGCAATACACAAAGAACTTGACAGAGAGTCCATGTGTCGAAGTAACTCCGATGGAAGCTGGTGAACTACGGACGAGTCTCCCGTTTGTGTTTCCGGTTCGGAAGACGCAAGTGATTTTTCGTCTGTAATCGGCTTCGCTGTAGAAGCTTTATTCGTCGACGCCGGTGCGCGCGCAAGAAGAAACTGTAAATAAATGAAAAGCAGCGGGTTCGCACGCGTGTCACGCCCACAAGTTGTGAGCTCTTCCAAGATAATGCGTGCGTACAACGTAGCAGCGCAAGCCGCAGCTTCCGATGTATGCAAAAGTCCTTCGAGAAGCGGGCCTTCCAGGAAACGCGACCGAAACTGGTCCAGCAGTTCGTCGGCTATAGAACGGTGCTGCAGTTCACCAGTGACTTCATCCACTTCCTCCAACTCATATCGAGCCACCATCGCAAGCGTGCAGCAAAAGCGAAGCCTCACAGCGAGGAAGCTCAGTTCCACCTCCATGGTTGCATCAGGATCCGACGGGCTCACAGCTGCAGCAGGAGTCTTGGCTGTGGGCGCCGGAGTCTTAGGTAGAGCATCAAAAGCTGAAATCACTCCGTTGACCGCGTAGTGACAGAACGGAGTGAGCTGCAGCACGAAGCGGCACAGAGCCTTGTCATGTACTGCCGCCGCGATAACCAGAGCTTCGCGACACTTTTCTCCAATTTTTCCAACTGCATACATATGAGGCAGCAGACCGGTAAAGAGAATAAGCTCTGGTACTTCACTCTGTGTGTGATGGTTGTGGAGATGCAGGAACGGATCGTCGCTGGCGGATCGAAGGCGATTGTTGCCATCTAGCTTGGTTGCCATATCGGTTGTGCGGACCATGAGTCTATCAGCGTGTAGGAAAAAAAACTCAGTCTGTACGGGGTCTCCTCGCAATTTCTTCCATAGGATATTGAGCAGACTGATGAGGTATTTGCGAACAGTAGGGTCCTCCACTTCCTTGCGCGCAGCTGCCTGGATGAGAGCCACTACAGACACATGCACCTCACGTGTTGGTAGGATGGGATAACTCACGCGACTAAGCAACGCGCCTACGAACTGCATAGCGAGTGACATTATACCGCAAGGCTGGTCTCTTCGACCCACTTCGCACAGATGCGGGATGATTTGCTTCTCCAGTAAATACTCCAGACATTCATGTGACGCATGCTCCGCTAGTTCCGGGGACAGCGGCGTCTGCGACTGTGCGCGTGAGCGGGAGCGCGCTCGAGGCTCAGCGCTGGCCGCGTCCTCAGCTGCCGCCTTGGGGCGCGCCATGACCATCTCCCAGCGATCTGAGTTATTCTCCTCCTCGTAGATGAGCAGCACCAGTTTAAGCAGCGAGTCACGGGTGTGGCTCTCGAGCAGCAATCGTCGCTGCTCTGCTGGCTCCAAGTCACGCGATAGCACTGACTCGAGGAAGTGCGCCACGGTTGTCCAGCGGTGGTGTAACTCATCCACGCGTGACTCGTACAGCGTCGGCGCCACCATGTCTGCCGCCTGAGCCAGCGCATCTGATGCGCGCGCCGCCACTTGTCGCAGCTTGGAGCGCAGCCAGCTCATGGTCGCTCGGCCTGCACGGTGCTGCTGCCTGCCGGGAGGAGCTTCTTGGCAACCTTCTGGTTGCGGGGGAAGGCGTCGTCTGAGTGGTGTGGCGCACACAATGGACCCCGGGGTTCCGCAAAAAAATATGTCGGTATCCGGAATTGTTTATTTTATTACGGGCACATACCACACTATAAAATAACCTATCGTGGCTTCAAAATTTAGCTTGCCCAGCATCCCATGAAAAAGCATCCAGAAGCCGTTAGCTGCCATGTTGGACAGTAAAATATCAGATATTGTTGTGAAGTCCCTGGGCCCTGCATGAAAGAGCATCTAGAGGCCGTAAGCTGCCATATTGGACAATAATATATCCGATATTCCTGTGAAGTATGTGGGCTTCATTGCCAAGGCATCTCAATAGCCTCCAAAAACACCCATGCTGACAGTTCGGCAGCATCTCAGCTCTACAAATGTAGTCGTGGATGTACCTCTAGGCCCTGGTCCAAGTACCAGAACCGTTCTGACGGGAGCAAAATTAAACGTTTTGATTGGCTTTCTAAACGTGGTACATACGAAGAAGATAGTTGCGATCGCTGAGCTCTCCTTCCCGAAATTAAAGAAAGGGATGCAAGCCTTCCTCGGTGCACTTAACTACTACGGCCGATTCATCCAGAACTTGGCTGTTTATGGAGCGGTGCTCTACCAACTCAAGGAAACGGACTTTGGTCCTGAGGGTGACTTGACGTCAGCAAAAGCGTCATTCGCCGAGCTAAAAAAGCGGGTAGCGGATGCTTCAATTCTTCGACATTTCTACGCGGCGAAAGAAGTCCACATAATGTTGTACGGTAATGACCGGGTACTGATGTGGTGCAGTGCTTTCTCAGAAATAAGAGAATGGGCCTGACGCGGGGTCACTATCCCGAATCAGTGACAATTTCAATTGTTTGGCACGGGTGCAAGTTGCCTGTGGTGGATTAGCCATGACGAGCGGCACCCCGTATGGAATGACGATGGATCTGGTATGAGCGATGTACGGGAAGGCAAGATCCACCAAGACTTATCTCGGGTCCACCCTTACCTGGATTCACTTAGGTGGATATGGGATATACTATGTACCAATGGATCGAGTGTGGATCCTATGAAGGAATGGTGGTAGGTGCCATCCGAAGGTGGATCTAGTAGCCACGGCTAACGAGAAGTCAGGATCCACCGCGAGGTACCCCGGATCCCATACTTCCGGGTTCGGATCCAAGGAGGGAGGATCCCGCATAGAAGGACCTGGATCCAGGGTACAGGGATGAGGGATGCAGTGGATCTGGAACTTTCGTGGGACAATGGAGGTCACAGACGGTTGCAAGATGATGTTGGATGATTGGAGAGCTCATATCCACGACGAGTGTACAATTACAGTGAAGTGGATCCAAGCGACCTGGATCCGGATAAGTGTACCCATAATAGGGTGGCCATGATGATTACGTCATGGATCCGGTGGATCTGAAGATAATACAGCTGGGATGATGGGTCAAGGGAAGAAGGGACATGCAGCCGAGCCTGGTAAGGGATTTAGCAGATGAATGACATAGAAGGTAGAAACCCAGGCAGGTATAGGCTTAAATATCAATACAGAACCTCATTTGCACCATAACACGCAAGTGCCTTCCTGCCCTCAAGAACCGGAACTACATTGGCCGTACGAGCTCGGAGAAGGTTGCGAATTGCGAATCTAGTGTTGGTAGTGATAACTGGATAATACATTGGCCAGTTCCTACAACCTAGTAAGCTTTCCCATACACGTGCAGATTCGACGGGTTAACCGAATTTACTACTTGGTCGGTTATACCCTAGAGGCTCTCAACTCTCAAGATCCCGTCACAGGAGGCGGCAAGTACGACGCAAAGGAACGCAAAGGCAAGGGACACACCCGCAAGGCAACCCTACGGCCAGATCCACGATCTAGGCCCCGGATCCATAAGCTCGAATATTCGCTTAGGATTCGGAACAATCCACGGACGCAGAGTGAAGATTTTCCACTGCTACTCCACCCCATCCCCACGTCTCGCCAAGACACTCAAGCTTCACCACTTGAACTCTTCGGAAGTTACCAAGAGAGCAAGATCCCGCCCTACCGACGGGTACACAAGGTGAGGAAAGTTCAGCAGAACACGGATCATCGGGGGACCCCCTCCGTTAGCCGGTGTCTGGGCGCAGTTGGTAAGTTGAATCTGGCAATATCGCAGATTTTGCTGATCCCGCTACACCACAATGGTGCGCGTGCCCGGATCTTTTGGTGACTCGGGATTTTTTCACCGTGAGTCCCAAGAAGATGCTCAAGTGAAGATTGAGCCAGGGGAAGAGGCGTCGTCGGAAGTCGGATCGACGAAGACGCTGCTGAATGAAACAAGATCCGCGGATCGATGGAGTTTTGGGAGGAACTCTGTCGACGGAAGAGAGGTGGATCCGGATCCGGATCTAGAAGAAAAAGCTCTCTATCCTCCCCAGGTCCTCTCGGGGACCCCTGCGGATCTTGACGTAGTCCAGATCCGCTAATAAACCAGGGAAAGGGAAGGCCAACCGGCATGCATTGCAGATCGCGTTAATGCAACTTCGTACTTATCCAA